CCCCAAAACCCCAAAACCCCAAAACCCCAAAACCCCTCTTATGCATTTATTTTTGAATAATAATTTTAAATAAAACCTAAATAATGTTCAGTACGATATATTCTCTAAATTTGTCAAAAGTTGCTCATCCAAACTCTGCAGATCTCCAATACCCTCTTAAAATTCTGAGGCATCTGAAAATTCCTAGCATAACTTATTCATGTCTTTTTATAAAACTTTAGTAGTAACCTGAATCTCTAGAAATTACCAAAACTGGACGGTATAAATCAAGGCTCAAAACAGGTATTTCTCAAGGTTTTAATTATCTAGGCACACAGAAACACTCAAGAAGGTTAAAAAGTCTCAGGATTACCTCTGAATCTGTCAAGATCAATCCTCAAAAACGGAAACTCGACAGATCAAATCAAGATTTAGAAGGTGAAAAGTCACCTCCAACCCCCGTAATGGTTGAAAGAAGTCCTAAAAAATCTTTCAAAGAAGTAATCATCAGAAAGAGGCCTCCTCCAAAACTAGAGTCAGCCCAAAAACATAGAAGGGAGATCAAAATATCTCTTGTAGAAGGAATTCGCTACGAAAGTCCTGGAAAAGATCATGCCGAAGAAGTACCAGACAACACAAAATTCTTAGAGCTTAACTATCGTAAAAGAGGGAAAGAAGACTCCTTCTCCATTGGTCCCTCACTCCTGCAAGAGGAGCCATCCGATGTGGACTTCGTAGCTAAATTTATCGAACAAGCTGCAGCTGCATCTGGGATTTCCTATAATATGACTGGAAATTACAGCTCTGAATCCCCGATCAAGAGAAGACGGATTAGCAACAATCCGAAGATATAGAAAAATCTGATGAACAACCTCAATCACAAAAGGAAGGCGAAGGAGTAACTTTCTGCGAGGATAGTTCAAAAATAAAGTTCTCTGAAGTAGACAAACCCAAGAAGGATAATAGTCTCTCTCATTCAGAAAACCCCATTAAAAGCATTTCATCCAAAAAGGACTCTTTCAGAGATGATACAAGGAATTATGGCGAAGAGACTGGCAAAACAATCTTCCAAAATAGCTCTATCGACAACAAGCTTGATGTCAAGGAGAAAGTGAACCATTCCAACAGAAAAACACTGGATAGCAACTCCATTAGAGGTAACAGTCGGAAAAGTGTCGATAATACATCAACAAGGCGAGGACAGATTCTTTCCAACATGAACTTCAACCTTTCATGCAAAAATAGTGCTTATATAGATAGGGAGCAGAGAGCTCGAGAAGAAGGAGGCAAAGTGCCATTTATCAACAATCTTTCCCAAAACAAATACGGACATCTCCCTAATATCCAAGTTGATATCCCTAGGACCCACAAGGAGCTGACAGCATACAATAACCCAAGGGGTACTTCTAGTCACCAAAACCAGAGATCTAAATAGCAAATCTAAGCCAAAGAGAGTGACTAAAGGTAAGTAATCCTTGACGCTTCAATAGCTCACTTAAAGGACGAGATGGTAGCAAATGACTCCCATAGTATGAACATCTTGATCAGGAAGAAGTACAAACAAACTCAGCCTGAAGAGCCAACCCAAAAACGAATAAAGTATGCTACTGATTAACTTTGAATAGATCAAAAACAGTTGATAAGCGGAAGATCAAGAAAAGAGACAAACCATTTGCGAAGATGTGGTTCAACCCATTCCAAGGATTCTACGCAAAGGATGACCCCAACCTCAAGGTCAGTTCATTTGTCCAACAACAGAGGAAGGTCTCCAAATCAAGCAAAGGGTTCAGGATCAGACATTATGGCCAGACTTCTGGTAACAAGAAGACTTTTCGACCCCACACTGGTAATAGGAACAATAGTAGAGGAACATATGCCATCCTAGATACCTTCCAAGGCCATACAAGAGTGAATAGTATGGCAAATTCAAGAGGTTTCCAAGACTCTGAGGCAAAATTCGACTCGGTCCACAACCTCAAGAACCACGAATCCTTCTCCTCAGTCAAGAACATCAGTGAAAACCAAGGAGCCACTCCTAAGGAAGAATCTGGATTCAAAGACTTCTTGAATAACGTTCCTAGTATCCAAGAAGATCCTCAGAGCACAAGCTTGCTCCAGAAAATCTCGTTATCAGACCAAAAAGCAATGCTCAGTTATAACATCAATCAAGACGAATGTGAAAAGAACAGGCGAATCCTGGTTCAAATTAAATAAACAGATCGAAAGTGATAAAATAGCCTCAAAAATGCATAAATAAAGTCCTTTCATGGCAAAACAAGAAGCTTAATTTCAACACCAGCTTTGAAGATCCTCCCAAACCTGCAGGCAGAGTTGGGAGCAATACAGAGCAGGTATATCCATAGTTTGAACCTTTAGTCCCCACCTTCAAAGATGAAAGTAGAATATGCTTACAATAATGAAAAGGCTAAATAAGAAGCAAAGACAACATCCCAGAAATCCCTATTCAAAAGGCTTTAAGACAGCCCAAACCTCGCACAGAAGAACCCCAGTCACTCGCAACAGCAAAGAGAAGTTATGGGAGGAGTATACTAAACAGCAGGCCCAACCAGGTCTGATAGGTATCCTTAAGTACAATCAAGACCGTCAAGATGCTCTTCCTGACTCTCCGAAGAAGAATCTAGCAGAACACTTAAAGAAGAAAAGTCTTGCTAGGTTCAACCTTGATATAAATCATGATAAAGATGCCAGAAAGACAAAACTAATAGAGGAAAGACGCATGCGGATCTCCAACCAAGTCGATAAAGAGATGCGGGAAGAGTTCTTCAAACCCTCCCTAGACACCTCAAGTAAGACTTTTAGATCACCTTGTAGCCAAATACTCGAAGATGGCAGTGCTAATCCCAACTTTCAAAGAGCTAATGTAATCTCAATCTTAGTATACATAGAAGGGGTTTTGGGGTTTTGGGGTTTTGGGGTTTTGGGG